ACTGCAAGTATACAAACACCATGCAAAAGTTTGGCTAAAGAGAAGAAAAAGAATAAATGATAAAAGTGCATACAAAGTAAAGTGAATGTTTTAGTGCATAATTTGAGTACACTGAAATGCTTTGTTGTAGAAGTCAGTTTATACAGTTTGATGCAAGAAGCAGATGACTGAGTCTACAAATAAGGTCTCTGAGAAAGTCACAGGATGAGCTTTTACCACAGAAGGTAAGGTCACGTTCATGTTCATCTTTGGATAATAACAATCAACAATACAGTCAAAATCCTCTAAGTGTTCTTCTTACAAAGGGAAACACTGATGTCAGTCTATTCAACTTCAAAATATTCAATAAATATAAATGTGAGGCAGGCATCTTTATAAGTAACATGACAAAAGACAAAATGAAATAAAGGTGCTTAATGGTGGATAGTCTTTTGATTTGTTATAATTCAGTGGAGATCAATTTGATGGAATGTATCAAAATCATAAATTCAGGATAATTACATTTCTGAGAATTTAGGCCAGGAGACCATTGTAACATATAGGAAGAGGTTTAATATGTAGAAAAAACTCTCTGGACACTACCTTAAACTGGGGAGTAGCCAGGGAAATCATAAGCAAGTGTAATTTACAACTGTTAGCACAACATACAGTATAGTTAACTTACAAATTACAGGAACATATCAGATAAAACACAAAAATGTATGTAGTGTTACATGAGACTTTTCAAAGTACATAAATATATAATACCATTATGCTTCTCAAAATGCACTAAAGTACTAAAAGAAAGTATTTTAAATGGCTAAAAAATATTTTGATTACATTAGGCAAAAGAAATTGAGTAATTTTTCCTTTGTCTATTCCACATTTCTTTCTCTTATAAAGAAAGAATAAATAACATAGTTTAAACTTCTAAAGGTCAGCATTTAAGGAATCCTTTACAACATCTACTACTTTCAGCTTCTGATTTCCAACTAAAACCCTCATTTCTAACTGACTTTTCTACTTGGTCTATGCCTATCCCTGATGAGCAACTCTACAAAGCCGCTCTCACCAGTGCAGATCCCTTGCTCTGCTGGCTCTCCTACTAAATCTTCAGTCCTCTAACTTTTCCAAAGCTCACCCCATATTTCCTAGCTACCGTAGCCTTGCCTTCTTGACCACCCATAGCACCAGTCTACACTATTTATCTAGCACTCTGTATAAGACATCTTCCCAGAATTCCTTAGAGTAACACTTGAAACTCACACAGAACATGTCTTATATGTTCTCTGCCTAAGCAGCCAATTCTTCTGTCTGGAGAAGATAAAAGGAGTATAATATCCTCTTGGGGGATGTTTCTCAGTCATAAAGCCATTATAATGAGACCATACTAGAACTGTTGATGCTACAGAGGAAAAGAATGCTAGAATGCCTGCAATGAGCAGTCATTTTCTGGATTATAACAACTCAACACTGAATTAACTCATAGACCTTTCATATACAACTTTAAATGTACTTGGTTTTAATTTTTTTCTTTAATCTGGGAAGTTTCCTCTAATAAAATTTAAGCAACTCATTCTAAAAGAAAAGGCTGGCTGACTTCCAGGAAGGAGTAAAGGAAAGTTACATATCCTTTAACGAAGGACTAGAAAAACAAAAGACAAAATAGATCAAGAAGGATATTCAAGCACATATCTTTACTGGCTTCAAATACTAACTCCTACAGGAAAACATGATTATTCTTCAAGAAAAACAATGTACAGAGACTCAATATCACTGAAGGTGCATCGGCCCTGTTAGTTTCACAATTATTTCAAAAGGAAATGAAAACTCAAAACTGAAACTTCTTCAACTTGAAGATAAAAGGAACACACAAGAGACCAGAAAGCATCAAAGACTGGAGTATTAAAGAAGACACTCAAGACTGTGAGCTATACACATATTCAAAGAAGTAAATAGGAACGACATCCTTAATAAAATTGCAATTCAATTAGATTTTTTAAAAACTTGAATGTATCTTACATATCTAAATAAGGCACTGCAATGACTCCACTGGGAGTCACAATCTGACAGAAGACATCCCTCCATCTTTTCCATCTAATGAAATGGTAAACATGCTGCTGCTACATATGAAAATGACTGCTACTTACCCTGTTATAACCAGAGTCAATACATTCCATTTCTACTTTACAATCATAACTTCTGCACAAATAACTGCTGGTTAATAAATTCTGTTTTAATGCATTTTTAAAATATGCTAGTTTGCACATTTAAAGATAATGCATTTTAAAGAGCCAATCCATATAAATTCATAGTTTATACTTTACAGAATTCACATTGGATAATTGTATAATGACCTAGGCATAAAACACTTGTTCTGTAAACACAGGACTGCTAATTTGTCTTCTTCTCATCTATCATGTCAAACCTACTGAGGTGAAGCTTAAATTAAAATATAAAAACTTTATTCTAATTCTAGGCCTAAAATGCAACACTCATACCACTCACTTAAATACCTTAGTAAAAGAGAATGATATATTTAAAGAATATCTGTTACCTATGGGAACTTTAGAAATACAAATCTCTTTGCCTAATCCATTCACTGCTTAATAAAAATAACTTTGCCAAATTGAGTAATGGACAATTTATATTGCTGACCTTTTTTACTAGATCTAATAATAAGTAGCAAAATTAGAATTATTTTTGTCTTTGTATATTTTTATCAACCATCTACCCAACAATGGTTGAGTTGTAATCTTCTATATATAGATACCAAAATATAATTAAAACCAGCATCATTTTACTAACACACCTGTATCTAAAACAGACTTTTTAAGATGACATGATTATAAAAATGATCTCTTTATTATCTTCATATTGATGACACAGCACTCAAATCTTACTTCAGCTCTTAGGTTGAAAGATAATGTCTTGGTATAATCAAAAAATCCTAAAGATATTGTCAGGTTACACAAGAATAACAGGAAAAACAGCCATGTTTGCAGAAGTAACTTGCTAAATAATTATAATAACTCCTGCCTACAAAGGAAGAGCAAAACTTCAAAAGATTTGTGCTAGAATGATGCTAAAATTCTTTGAAAAGAGACAGAGGAAAAGGGACACACACTTTTCATCTGAGAATAATTCCATAAACCATAATAAAAGAGAGAAAACTCAAAACTGTTCAACAAAGCAAAGAATGAGAGGTACCATTCTGTTCATTTCAGCTTTAAAATTCTTGGATACTGATCTCTATAGATAGGTACACATCCAGCACGACACAGTGATAACTGCTTTTACAATCTGTGACTGCATTCAGGCCCAGTAAGCAATAAAATTACTGATAAAATGACCAGAATTTCTTAATTATCTTTAACTAAAGCTCACAGGTTTATAGTATGTGATTTGGCAAAGAAAAGATAAGGATAAACTCTATTAAATAATACCTGTTCTCAATAGGACAACTCAAATTTCCAATGTAAATGATGTCATTAGAGGTTATACTCTACATCTGTCTTTTTGGTTTGGGGAAGCATTTTAATCAGTTATAAACATTCAATTTTTCAAATAATAAAAACTTTTTAAGGAAACAATTTTTAAGTCATCAAAAAGCCAAAGGACAGATATTCAAGACTACATAGCTTATCTGCAAAAGAAAACAACCAGAGAACAGCTTGATAAAGACAGGCAGAGTTCAAGATGGCAGAATCCCTTCCTTGTTGAACTGAACTGAACACACTAAAACCACCAGCAGTTTTGTGTTTCTCCTGTACATGGTAGTAAAACAGAGGGGAAAGCCTCACACAGAAAGCTGAATGGCCCAAAGAAAACCTATGTGTTGACAAGAACCTAATGGCACATGCAGGTACGCATCTTTTATACTTGATGTGATACACTTACATGGCCCCTGTTGAATCTCTTGGGGACCAACAGTAAAGCAAGTTTAGAACTTCAAATCTTGAGACATCTATAGCAAGATGCTGATCCAATGTGGCTCCAAACATCTTCTGTTTTCCTGGCTCACCTGAAGAGGAAAAAACACTACAGACGATGTGGGAACTGAATTTCTTTCTGTAGTTTTTTTCTAGAGCAACTGTCTGAGAGATTTGGCCCAGTCCTTTGTGAAGTTTGGAGATGAAACACTTGAAGGACTAGTGAAAAACAAATTCAAATGAAAAGACGGAGTAGAAAATATTTGAGCAAAAGATACTCATTGTAGGCCAATCAGTGTTTCTAACCCGTTAAGTGGGAGGAAATAGAGAAAAGAGAGAAAATGCAGTGTTTCTCCTCCACCTCCTCACCCCAGCTGTGACTGAAATTCATGGAGCACCTAACTTCTGAGCACATGAGGGAAGGAGTCAGGGGAGCAACCTGGAAAGCTGAGAGTTTGGTACATTCTCCATCCCTGGCTGTATGACCTTGTTAAGCAGCAGGGAGGACTTTCAGATAATACCTTTGTTAAACACAAGTTTCTGGTGGATATAAGTTGAAGAAATATTGAAAGAGAAAATGCATTGAACTTATACAAAAACAGAACTCACAGTAATATACCCATTCTGGCAAATTGTATCTAATTCCGTTTTTTTTTTTTTTCAAAAGGTTTGGGATAGATTCTTTGAAATTAGAAATCAGAAACAAAGGGGGAGAGAAGCAATTTCCAAATAATAGAAAATGTGTTCAAACCAAATACAACGCAAGCTGCACAGTTCATCATTCAGGAAATACTATCCCTAGAAACATAATCTTTAAAAACTAAGATTAGCACAACATTATGACACAGAAAGCATAAACTGTTGCCAATAATATTAGCTAGATTCACTTTAATTAACTTCCAAATTATTTTTTTTATTAAATCTTATATTACTACAGTTATTCTCTATAAGAGCCCTGGACATAAAACTTTTTTTTTTTTTCAAATTCATTCCAATTTAACCAGAATTTATTTGAATGATGCCTGGTTAAAAAAAAAAAATACCAGAATTTTCTGGAAAGTATGAATGGAGGACAAATCAGCCCCTTACCTGACGTGGCTGTTCGTTCATCCGTTGTGGGTCTGACTTTACTTTATTATTGGGGTGGTTTGTGACTTTGGTGACTGGTTGCTTGAAAATTGATGCAGTTTGTCTAATTGGCAATGTCGTGTTCAAGTCTGGTTTACCCTGTGAATAGAAATGGATTTTCATTAATATTATTTATAAACAAAATTGAATCAATACCCTTTTAAATTCAAAATCCATGACTTTAAATAAGATTACTCCAACTCTCAGTCTGTGTCGGCGCTTTAAATATTCTAAAGGTACATTTAAAATATATTTGTTTTGTATGTGCATGTGCCTGGGCGTATGTATGTGTGCCACATGCATGCAAGAGAATGAAGAGGTCAGAAGCAGCACTGGGGTGGCCTGGAACTGGAGTTACAAACAGTTGTGAGCAACCGTGTAGGTGCTGAGAACTGAACTCGGGTACTCTGCGAGAGCAATATGAGTTCTTAACTGATGAGCTATCTCCCCAATCCCTCCAAAAGTACATTTTAAGCACTTTATTATGTATTAAGTTTTTTCATAACTAAGATATACTGTTAATTCTTTGTGTGATATTAATTATCTAATTAACAGAATACTAAGGATATTTAAATGAATATATCTGAGAAGGAATAAAAACCTTAAGACAGCAATTGGGATAACAGTTATTTCTACATTCTAAGACTAAGGACAAATATTAGCATTAAATGATATGAGCATTAAAACTTAATTTGATTGATTAGCAGTGAGACCAGACTTAACATAAAATCACATTAAATTACTGATCCCCATAAACATAATTCATTTTAGAAAACACTGATAAAATAAGGAGACATGCCTAAATAAAAACATCAGAATTTGAGCACCAATGATAAAAAGGAAAAATTTCACACATGATTTCATACATCATGGTGCAAACAAGCAAAGATTCCATAAAAAGTAGTGCATAAACTTACTTTCCCCACATGTATACGGGTAGTTAGTATGTATATGAAAACCAATATATGTCATGCACTGACTTGGGTCTGACCATCAAGTGAGGCCTACCTACTTATGCATGTGGAAATAATTCAAAAGGAGGAAGAGGAGGAGGAGGAGGGGGGAGGAGGAGAAAGAAGGAAGAAGGAAGAAAAAGAAGGGAGAAGAACCAAAAAGAAGAAGAAGAAGAAGAAGAAGAAGAAGAAGAAGAAGAAGAAGAAGAAGAAGAAGAAGAAGAAGAAGAAGACAGGCCAAAACACTTCTGATGGCAAGTATTTTGTATAAGGAGTAAACACCCTGAATTCCTGTTTGGTTTGCTGAGACAATGTCTCATTACATATCCCAGGCTTGCATAGAAACACATTATGGAGTTCAGGCTGCCTGTGACAAGTATGCACCCAGCCTGATAGGCATTCCTCATTTATGTGTCACATTTCATGCTTTTCGGGAGATTTAAAATCAAAGCTTCGAAAAGCCATGTGACATGTTTATCAAGTTTGAATCATCCAGTAAATAAAATGTCAGACATGTTTTTTTTTTAATAAAGTCAAATTGTGAAACAGACTGTTGTTAACTTCATATGCAATACCCAATGGAATGATATAACAAAAGGGTAGGGAAAGATTGTTATTTTGATTCTGACAAAGATGTAAAAGCCATACACTGAGAACAATCCATGCCTGACATCTTTATGTAGAGGTCCACTCATTAACTTACACTTGATGAGCTTATGTTTTTACTACTATCTCCATATGGAATAGTAATGTGTACCTCCATACTACCAAAGAGTGGTCTCAAATCTGAGTACACATTGGAACCACCCAAGCTTGTTAGAAGAGAAGGATTGGGCTTTATAC